CAAGCTTTGAATTCCTCCCCCTCTTCTCCCAAAGATGCTTAGTATTTTATTCTATGTTGTGAACCACTGAGTCTCCTGCAGTTCTCTTTTGTGTATGTTAATGGCTGATTCTCGAGATACTGGCCTTGTCAATTTAAGCAGTTCTTTTCTTCAATGTGAGTTTCTTAAGAGTTCATGTCTCGTAGAAAGCGGATAGAACACAGGGCCAAGCTTAGGGAGTAGAATTCACATTTGTCTTAATGTCTCTTGTGAATTAGTGTTATATTTGTTGATTTGTCTAGGACTCCGCTCCTGCTTATGCTCCAGACTGTGAGGAATAAAAAAAGATCTACATCTCCCCATTCCGTAAAAAAACCTCCCACAGCTTTAATTTACCAGCATGTTTTTTTGTTAATATGTGTTTGATGTCAACTTTGATAAAAATATTATGTTCTGTTCCGCGAGGCACTCTCTGACGATTAGCAGTGAACATGATGAACTTATTCATATTTTGTCGATATATTTTTACATATTTTGGTGAGTACCTGTGAGTTAAATAATATTTCCCTAGAAAACCTCAGTAATATCCTTATTACTGAGTACGTGGAGCAGCGGGCATGGTGGTGAAGCATGGAATGCCCAACATGTTTGGGACCGCTGGCGGGGGCGGGTGGGAATCACTTGAGGTTTAGGAGGTTTGAGACCAGGCCGTTAGCGCGGGCGGTGGTAAACCCGTGCCTCTCACTAAAAGCACAAAGGATTACTGGTCATGGATGGCAGTGCTTTTTTTTTTTTTTTTTTTTTTTTTTTTTTTTTGAGACTGAGTCTCAGTCTGTCACCCAGGATGGAGTGCTGTGGCACAATAACACTCACTGCAGCCTCCACCTGCCAAGTTCAAACAATTCTCCTGCCTCAGCCTCCAGAGTAGCTGGGATTACAGGCGCATGCCATCATGCCCAGTTAATTTTTGTGCTTTTAGTAGAGGCAGGGTTTTACCACGTTGGCTAGGCTGGTCTCAAACTCCTAACCTCAAGTGATCCACCCGCCTCGGCCTCCCAAAGTGTTGGGATTCCAGGCTTCAGCCACCATGCCCGGCTGTCCACTACTTTCAGTATAATATTTATGAGGTTTTAGGGAATATTATTTTAACTCACAGGGTACTCACAAAATATGTAAAAATATTCACAAAATATGAATAAGTTCATATGCCTTTCAACTGTAGAGTTCAAATCCTTGCAGACATTTTTTTATCAAGTTGCTAGCAAAAACCTATCACAATGCTGTAAATAAGCTGGTGGGAGGTTTTTTTAGGAATGGGATGTAATTTTTTTTATTTTTCAAAGCTGGAGCATAAGCAGAGAGTGCTGAGACTCATAAAGTTGCAGACTAAATTCACAGAGAATTAGACAATTGTGAATTCTAATCCTAAGACTTGGTCTGTGCTTTGCTTATCTTTTAGATGACCATGGAAGTGCTTAAGAAATACGTTGAAAGAAAGTAACTGCTTAAATTGACCAGGCAGTATTGAGAATCAGCATTAAATACAAAAGAGGCTGGGCTCAGTGGTTCACACTGTAATCCTAGCATCTTGGGAGACTGAGGTGGGAGGATTGCTTGAGGCCAGGAGTTCAAGACCAGCCTAGGCAACATAGTAAGACCCTGCCTCTATAAAAAATGAAAAAAAAAAAATTAGCTGGGCATAGTAGTGTGTGCTTGTGGTCCCAGGGGAGGCCAAGGTAGGAGGATTGCTTGTGCCTAAGAGGTCAAGACTGCAGTGAGCCATAATTGTGCCACTGCACTCAAGCCTGGGCCACAAAACAAGACCCCATCTCTTTAAAGAAAAAAAAGTACTAAGATGGAAAGGTCATATGTGATCAGGTCAGCTGACTATCAGTTACAGACCTATTTTGGACTTTTTTGATATAACTGTGAGTAACCGATATTTTAAATCGCCTATTTTCTTGGATAAGAAATATATTTATTTCCTAATCATATCATTTTATTAAAATTAATTATTTTCATACTTGAAAAGAATTGCTTCATGAGATTAGTCATTATTCTAGGCACAATGAAAATCAGAATAAGGTAGAAATAGACTTTTCTATTCGGAATAAAAAAGATTTCTCTTCATTCAGCCAAATTAATATGGTATAGCCTGTCTTTATTCTAATACTTTTTTAAAAGTTGGGATGACCTTTTAAGTGGAACTGATTTTTTGACATATATAAATTGGCATTCATTCATAAGATAACCAAAATGAGTGTTTTATTTTGTGTTAACCCTGAGGAGCAAGATTTTCCCTTGTTGTATCTCAGGACCTTGAAGAGTTTATGAATAGCAGTTACTGTGACACCTTTCAAATTTTTACAAATGTTCTCATTTTCAAAGATTACAAGCAAGTATTGGATTAATATTCTAAGCAAATTATGACAGGAATTTTAAAATATCAGATTTAGTGTCTTTTACTAAATTTTTTGTTCCATAAACATAGCTACCTATTTTTTATTTTATTTTTCTCATGAATGAAGAAAAACATTTATTTTTCACCTCCTCCTCTTGTTTTTTGATGATGCAGAAAGAATAGAGTAAAACTGACTGTCAGTATGCAAAGTTTGGTGAAAAGGATTGAGTTAGAATTTGAAGTTTTCACACCATCATGCTAGAATGGAATGGTGACTCTTAAATTTTTTTGAAAAAGTTGGTAACAGGATGAATATCCCTCTGCAATATGGTAACATCAAAGCATATCCTTTATTGAGTCTAAAGTTCATGGCCAGGCTTTGAAAATCTGAATTAATTAAGAACCATAATTTTTATTTAAGTTGATTACTAATTTAAGATGTATCTTAATAATATGACTAATAATTCTTGAGTGAAAATTATAAACATAATGATAAACACATATGAAAGCTAACATTACTTACAAACCACTTACTCTTCTGGCAATCTCAGCCATGTTGTAGATTTAGAAATAATGAGGGAAGAAAAGGGCCTCTGACTAGCAAATGACAGTCACAAAGCCCATGCACCCATGCACTTAACTCTCTAGGAGAATGTAACCATTCACAGGACCTCACCTAAAGAGTTTTCCGAAAAATAACCATTAGAACACACTGATTACAACAACAACAAAGAAGTGTCAGTAAGTAAAAGGACGAGGCAGAGAAAATGAAAAGCAGAGAATGATAAAAACAATCCGAATTCACTTAGGATAAAGGCAAACAGCCTTACATTTAAATTAGACCTTAAGGCCAGGCGCGGTGGCTCAAGCCTGTAATCCCAGCACTTTGGGAGGCCGAGACGGGCGGATCACGAGGTCAGGAGCTGGCTGGACACGGTGAACCCCGTCTCTTACTAAAAAATACAAAAAAAAAAGCGGGCGACGGTGGCGGGCGCCTGTAGTCCCAGCTACTCGGGAGGCTGAGGCAGGAGGATGGCGGGAAACCTGGGCGACAGAGCAAGACTCCGTCTCAAAAAAAAATTAAAATAAAATAAAATAAATTAGACCTTAAGGATATTACTGTGGTCTATAGTGCAGAAATTAACATTGATAATAATGATCCTGAGTCATCAAGAAAAAGTGAGATTATATTTATTTTGCTATTTTTTTTAAAAAGTGGAACTGTGTTATATGACATGTGTCCATTGAGAATATTTAAAATGTTGAAGATATGTGATGTTTATAAAACTTGTTATCCAGAAAAGTGGTTTGTGAAGTACCTCATTCCTTGATCATGCTAGATAAATAATTTATATGTTTTTTAAAGAGAAATCAAAATATGCTGGCTAAATGAGGCACTGCAGTACTTGGATATCTGTAGAAATACATTGTATTTTTTTTTTAATTTTCATGTAATACCAATAGTAGTGTGATTTACATCACTTAAATATATATTACTAATTAGAAGAATGTCTAATTTTCAGGTCAACACACAATATATTTATAATTAATATCACAGTGTACTCTCCGAATTTGGGAAAGCAGTACAAAAAGGAGTCAGACTTTGAGATATTTAACTTAGAGTTGTTTATACAATATCTCAGATCGTTTCTATGTTAACTTGATGAAGAGACAGAACCAGTATTTTACCACAAGTACCAGTGGTTCCAGGATTCAGATGTCATTACTATGGTGAGCAGTAGGTTTACCACTCATCAGTTGGACCCCAAAATTATAGTAGTGGACCCT